GTAATGTGTGTAATAGAGGAGTCCGTTATTTTCTCCAAAAGTACTGATCAGATCCTCACCAAATTAATACGGGACCATTTCGCCAAAACATAGATTCAAACTAAGAAAGAATTAGCAAAATCGGTCCACGCATCTCGGAGATATGCGCGAACAACAATTAAAAACATGCAATGACGAATTGAGAACCTCCTCCTTCTTTTTGAAGTCAGTTAAAAACGAAAATTAAGTAAGACATTGTATTTGTAAGTAAAATGTATTTTTGGATGATATTAAACACATTTTTGCCATATAGGTTTTTTATTAATAATAATTAAACCCCATCGATTTCCCAACTAAAACAAGTATTTTCTCTCTTTCGAGTACGAATGAACAAATCCACACGCATTCTGTGTCTGTTGCAGTGTATAGACAAAATCCCCCATGGTCCTTTAATTTTTTTTTCTGTTAACCATATTTTTTTTCTGGTTCGTACTATTTGTGAATTTCCAGTGAAAACCCATAAATTAGCGACTGTCGTGTGAATCTCGGGTGTTTGATAGATTGCATATAACAAAAAAAAAACTTGATTTTTTAGGTCAGGCATCTCCGTGCAGATATACAGACAGACACGAACCACATAATCGATTCCAAAGGTGTATGATAGTAAACTATTATCAAACACAAAATTTAAAAAAGGACACTAGATTTTTTCACTACTTCAATGAATATTACAAGAAAGATGTTTTATTAATTTGACTATGTACTGGCATGTCATTTGAAGCATCCTGGCATGATTCTATACGTTCCAAATTTAAATTTTGTGGACTGCTTTACGAAATACAGACAGGCACGAACCATGTTATAGATTCCAAAGGTGTATGAAAGTAAACTATCAAACAAAATAACTAAAGAATGTTGGTGGAAGACATTTTTTATTGATGTTTATTTATTTTTTACAGTATGTTGCTGTATTACTTTTAACGTTGCGATTGTCACGTTGAATGCGTTACGCTGTTCGCTGACACGACAACGCTATTTGTCGGTCAATAGTACCCGAGCTTGTTATAGAACTAGGTAGTTTATGAACATAAAATAACTGAATACTTACTACATTTTGGGTGCATTTTCCTTTTGTACAATATTCAATTGTTTTGAATTCCAAATCTTAAAAAAACATGTTTATATTATTATAATAAATTTTGTATTGTTCATGGCTCATTGTATGTCACTATAATTTCGAATATAATAATAAATATTTCCAACACTCACACCAATTAGCCTAGCCCCAAAGTAAGCACTGTAAGGCTTGTGTTATGGGATGCTAGGGTAACGGATAGAATACATATACAGTACATATATAAGTATATTTATATAGAAATACATATTAAACATCCATGACTGGAGTACAAATGCTCGTATTCATCACACAAACATCTGCCTCCACCGGGATTCGAACCCGGGACCTCTCGAGTCGGCGACACCATGAAACCCGGCGTACAAACCACTCGGCCACGGAGGTCGTCAAATATTGCATGCATCTTTAATAATTACTGCTTATACTCCTTAATATTATGCTGCTTAATATATTTGTGAAATATTTATTCTTCTGCTTATAATTTCTTTTGAAAATGTCCCTTAGCTAATTTTAAAATTGTTTGAAAACTTTAAGACCTAAAAACCGTTAAAAACTGAAACTCCCGAGCGATATTAATTATAAACTTATGACATTAAAAGAGCTCTTGATCAAACTTTATTCCTGTTATAAAATTTAAGTAAGCTTGTTAAAAACATTTAACACTCCCAACACGAACACAAATTCAAGATTTGAACAGAATTTAGAAACAACGTACCTACTTATTCTGTTTACGTATTCTATCTGGGAGTTAATTAGCAGTTTATTTATTTTTACTGCTGTGTTTAGACTTTAAGAAATGTAAAATTTGAATTGCGAATGAAATTCCGTAAGAAAAGCATTACTTTTCCTGTTTACGCGATGATGGAGGTCATTAGGCGTCGCTAACAGTAATTTTCTACGTTATCTCAAATCTTGTTTAAACAAAATTTTGTTTAAACTTCTTTAGCAATAGATGATTTTCGTACTTAATTAGTAAGTTATTAGAAAGTTTTGTTTTGAGCACAGAATACACCACTTTCTGCTGTTGTTATGAGTTAGCTGGGTTTTTCAGAAATAAATCAATTATTTGGAAGCACTTTAAAAATAAGGGCGTAAGACCTTGTGGTTCTCCATCACAAATAGCAAAAATATTTGTAGCATTTTGAGATTCTTCTAAACAGTATCTGTGCTTTTAGGCGTATAACCTAAAATAATAATAAATATATGAAATACTTTAACCAGGTACATTTCTATGCAGGCACCATACGGCTTGATATAGAAAGTGCCCGCCCTGAATTCGAGTGCTAACATTATTATTCAATTACGAATTAATATCATTGAGGATGTTATCTTATTTTTAAATGATTCATAAATTTATATTTTGTGTGCACCAAATAACTTTCGTACCTGCAGTTCATTTTTAGTGGTATACGTATAACGATATTTTTATTCCTCCGACTTTTAACTCGTAAAAATGATTTCCTTTTAATTTCGTTGTTCGAGCAACGTCTTAGATTTATAAAATCCCTATTCAACGATATCACATATCCAGTGTTAGTCGAGAAAAAATGCCACCCCCACTATTAACGTTTAGGGGAGGACGCTAAAAAACTACCCTTCGATGAAATGTTATAGAAGATTTATTGCGATTTGATCTAAGAGCAGGAGCGTATTTTAAAATAGTTAATAGTTTTATTTTTAAATTCTGTCAGCCCGTCCCCGGGCTACTTGCAATTTCACCCCCCTCTCACCTGCAGAATTAGAAATCAAATCAAATTATAGGTCATTAACGAATGCCGTTGTATGGCTTCTGCCACCCCAGGCCATGGCCCTCTTGGTCCTAGGGTAAATGTGTCCTTGCCTAAGAGATTGTGAGTTACGATATTGATACCATACTTTTTGCAGATTGATATTCACATCTATAAGAAATACTAATGTAAAAACTATTCGACATCAGCCTGGCAGCCCTGGGGAAAAACGCCTAAAGGCATTGCTATGGCTGTCGCTATCGCTTACGTTTTTTTTTGTTATTTTTGACCGCCGAAGGTTTCCAAATACGTCACATTCATTTTCTTAAGTTAAATTGTTAATACCAATACAAAAGAAAAAAAAAGAGCGCGACGCATTCGAACACCTTCGGCGTTCAGAAATAAAAAAATGAAATCGTAAGCGAAAGCGATAGCCGTAGTAGCTATCCCGTTAGGCGATTGGCGCACTGGTCATTGATGATAATTTAAACAGATTACATCATTTCAGACCTCTCTCTCTCTTCGAGAAACTTCTAAGTATATTTACTTAATGTTGAATGACTATAATGTTTTTATGGATCTTCTATAATGATGTCATAACACGGACATAATTTTAGTAACACCTTTTATGTCAATACTTAAAGTTTAAAACTGTGTATTTTTATTTGTGTCTAAATATCTTTAAGGTGGTGATATCCGTTTAGATATAATAAATTCATTTATATAGATTTGATAAGTGCTTGCAGAATGCTGGCACTTCACATGACTATTCCTATTTGCTGTTTGTCATTTCGACAGCAGGTGGTCCTTATCATTCTCTATAGGAAATAAAAAGGAGAGACTGTTGTCAAGTTTACAATAGAGTCGTTTCAGTAACTATTTGTAACCATTGCCAAATGTGGTTATTCTATAGGTTACGTACTGTAATGATAAAATGCTTTTGTTCGGTGTCACGGTGTTGCACTTCACCGCTTTGCCAAATTTTTTAGTGATATCGTTTCATATAAGTGTACCTCATCTATTATTTTGAACCATTCTTATTTACTTTTTTTTTAATCATGGTATAGAATGACCATGCACCACCGGCTATGTAGTCACGTAATTTCTTTGTAAAAATCGCCATAATATTACAATAACTAGTTCTTGTAGACATACACTCGAATAATAATAATAATATTTCCAACAAAAAATGAATGAGTATTAAAGGTCATACAGTATTTGAATAAGTTCATAATACAATCATAATAATGGTTGAATTTAAATTAAGACAGCCAGTAGTAACAATAGTGTCGTTAGGTGGAAGTGATAGGCGTCCATAAACATCCCTAAATATATATGTATAGGTGCTATAAATTTCAGACAAAAAACATTATGTCTTCTTTTACTATCACGCCGCTACAACATCTACTAATGACGAGCACATAAACCAGATTAGCTTCACGAGAGCTGATTGAGTGTATTGACTAAAATTAGATATTCCTAGCTACTCATTTCTTGAGGGGGTTTTACCACGACCACGCACCGAATGACGCTCAGTGGGCAGGCCCCCTACAAGGTGGACCGACGATCTTGTGAAGGTCACGGGAAACCGATGGATGCGAGTGGCTCAGGACCGATCGTTGTAGAGATCCTTGGGGGAGGCCTATGCTCAGCAGTGGGCGTCATACGGCTGACATGATGATGATGATGATTACGTATGCAAAAAAAAACTGTGAAATTACTCTGCTGTCTTCAAACTAAAAAGCGGCTAGGTGACATGTGGTCGATTTTTCAGCCTTAAATTACATATTATATATACAGATTTTAATTCTCTATCGATCTGTGTTTAACAAGTATTCGTATCTTTTATAGTTTCAGCCTACAAATCCCTCATGTGCTTAATGGTTACAAAATAGCAATAATTGATGTTTACGCGCCGTTTTTTGGCCGTATCTCAAAAGTTGGTTTTGTCATTTAGTCGCGTTTTAGCTTGAGGACGGCAGTACTGCTTAATGTAAGTCACTATTAGGTGTTCATAAACAAAACCTTCAAGGGTCAAACAAGCTTACGTCGCGCCTGATGTGCAAAGCGGACGCTTGCAATGCCAAGAGAATAAGTCGCGCCCACTCATATTTTAGGAAGTTCTTTTTAAAATTTACTCATAAAAGTACCGGTTGCAGACGCAGACTAGAAATGGCGGACATCAGAGCGTACCACTATCGGCTCCGAGCGGTTTAGGCAGCCCAGAAGTGAACGGATCTCGTCCCACCTTCAAACCTGTCACCGTGCTTGAAGATCTGCAGGCCGTGCGCTGTGCAGAGTTTCATCCCAACGGGAAACTGTACGCAGTCGGCTCCAACACGAAGACCCTTAGGATATGCACCTATCCAAAGATTGAGGATATCAAGTGAGTATGGATGCTGATTTACATAAGAATGATAGACGGGTATATTATAACTTACTTCTTGATTATATAATATCATTGCGTAAGGCCCGCCTGATGGTAAGCGGCCACCATAGCTTATAAGACGCTAGCGATACCAAAAATATCACTCGCACCGTTACCTACCCTGACCCAATGCCTTACCCGGTGGAACCCTGGAACCTCACTCACCGACAGAACTAAACACCACCAAAAGGTAGAGTTATTTTACTCTGTCTTCTGTAAGGTGGGGCGCTCCAATTTCCTACGCCGCGATGTGGCATCATTGAGCGCATTCTACTGACTATACCACGGCGAGTGTTCTGTGGAGTTATAAAAACTACTAGGTTAAACTGAATTAATTTTTATGGGACTAAATGGCAAGTATATCGAACAAAAAAGAATCGCTCAGATAAGAAATGTTTTCCTGATCGGTGTACATCTAAATAAATAAAGTATCAGAGTGTCTCCTTCCAAGTTGACAAATACGCTCATGAAATAAAAACTACTGCGCCAACCTGAATAAAATGTTTATTGGACCAACTATTTTGCTTCGGGCAAAATAATAATCACGTAAATCGGATCAAAAATCTAGGCGTAATCGGTGTACATTTAATAAAAAAAATATACCGATTGAATTGTGAACCTTCTCCATTTTGAAGTCGGTTAAAAAGTTTTTTGCAAATACAAAATATGTCCTTAAAACAATTTCAATTAAAATAGAAAATGCTTTACAAGAAAAGGATATAAATACAAAATGGAAATAGGTATTTTCTAATTTGCATTTCAAATACTGTTATTTTTAAAATGTCTCATCTCTGGTATTCACTGCACGGAAACGGTCCAAAAAATATCTACTACTTACATAATGGTAGATACGCTCGTCGCTACACATTGACTGCTTTCAAACAATCTGACATTAGAGTCACGCACACATTGCGCGTAATATGAGCCGTTTTGTGTGCCTGTTTTATTTGAATCACGTGTATATAATAACAAAGCTTACATATTTATAGAAAACATTATTACGTTTGAGTTTAGTTGACGACCTTACCTATTGCCTCTCTCCGATTGTGATGATGTCTATTCTTTGACAACCCTTAATTAAGAGACTCGTTAATTCATTACGCACATTGAAAATGTATCATACATACATAACAGACCGACCCAAACACACCGGCTCCAACGGTTACAAAGAGGATTTGTCCAACTTATAGCAAAGTTCTATTATAAGTGTGCGACACACTTATATTATGATATGTCTTAACTGTAAGCCGGTCACAGTGTACCATCTTTATCATATTCGCAGAATAATATCATGACCTTTATCTGATGTAAGAAAGAACGACTCGAAAGGTCGAACGTAGTTTTCAACCTTGAAAAGTTTCATATAACTTTAAATTATTGTTCCCGTTCATTTAACATTTGCGAGTGGCTCAAGTACATAAACATCAATTAAGTATTTATTTATTTAATACATAAAAATTATACTGTTGTAAAAAAAGAAATTAGTTTCATGTCTGGCTATTTGGACGCAATTTTATTATCGTTAATTTGTTACAAACCAACAGAATTTAGTATTAACACATTAAATTCCTCATTAAATAGTCTCACTATCTTTATGTGAATAATTTGCAGTTCATTTGTGAACCTTTTGTGCTTACGAGGCGCGGTCGCAGTCGACCTCGGCGGACGGTCGACCCTGGCGGGACTTCGCACCCGCCGTCTTAATCTTACCCAATTCATAAGCAATTACGTGAAACATCGTCTCGAAGATGTTATTTATAAACGCCGTTACTGTCACTAAAGTATAACAAGTAGCCATACTGGAAAATTAGGCCGATGAGCTTTGGGAATAGGTATTGGCTGGAGAGGACAGGGTTGTAACAGTTACTAGAGTTTAAGTATGAAAGTAATATTTAGTAGTAAAAATTGATATCGATGAATAAGCGAGATGCAAGTAAGTGAGATACCTCTTTTACTCTTTTAGGGAAACTTTGCAGTTGATAAAAAGAGAGAGAGTGCTTCTTTTGACACGTCGTCCTCGAGGCGTCAGATTTAGTCCGGGAGTTAGCGTTGCATTTTCGGCAATGGTTTTACGCCGATTGCTTGCCATCTTTTACTATAGATCTCCAATGACTTCTAACTAAACCAAGCGTCAGCTGGCGCACCCGCGTTGGGTGTAGAATTGGGAGGTTGCGGAAGTAGTAAAAAGAAATAAAAAATTAAGGAATAGTACGCCGGCTGAAACATTTTTCATAAATAATCATCATCATAGATGCAATATATACTAGTGCTCAACTACTCGCCGATCAGTACGGCGCCGGCGCCTTTCGAGGGCATATGCCATTTTTTACCGCACGCATCCCGAGCAATATCATGCGAACTAATTCATGAGAGCAGCTGACGCATAAACCCCCCCGCCCCCAAGATGCAGCTGACGATTTTTTCTCAGCTTTGTATGATGTCAACTACTTATGAAAAAAGTTGCAGTCAACGTAGTATAACTTTTTTTTCACATCTTTCGCAGCCTCCCACCGCTACTTGAGCAGTTGACGGTCGGTTTAATTATTAGTCATATAAGATCAACTATCGATGTTAATATCAGCCGCCTTACTATGAGTTTTGGATTTGCAACGCTACCTCCCGGACAAATTCACTGTGCGTAACCATTTAATTTGATGTATCACAAACTTAGGGATAATACTAAATAAAAAATCGATATCGATAATTTAAGGAAAAATACAATTAAATAGAGTAACGGCCGCACTCAAAGTAAATTAAATTAATGCCAATTTGCTGTTGGTTATGGTGAAGTCAAACGAGCGTAAATTTTTGAGTTGCGTAATTTAAGCTGCATTCGTTTAAGTGTGTTCTTGGGGTCGAGGGGAGCAACCACGTTTGCCTGTTTGTTACCTAGTGGTAGGGGAGCCTAAGCGGGGATTTTTGGATTTACTCACTCGGCAGAGTATCATAAGAGGGGCAACCTTGCACCTTGTGAAGTACTTTCACCATATCTGAGCCCTCTTCGTAAAGCCGAACGTCTAGGCAGCAAAATAATAATTTTCAACAAACGGCCATGTCTTTTGGTCGCGTCCAAATCGTCACTCTTTTGAATAGGTACTACTGCAGGGTTCACGTAACATCCCTTCTCAATGTATGATGTGCTCGAATATTTTTTTGAGAACGTCTCTCTATGCTTCGATCAACTATACTCAAGTTGTTGTAACTCAATCATGGCAATATAGGTACGCCTAGAAAACAAAAAAAAAACTAAAATAGCGAGATTGCAAGTTTCTGAAATGATTCATAATTATGTTTCATTTTAAGAAACATCAATAAGCGTCATTACGGTCAAATTAAAGAATTCTGGACCTGAAGTTAAACTAAAATTAAATGATTCTCCTAATGTCGCCATTTTATACCCACAGGTGTGTAAAAAAACTAGTTCATGGGTTGATTAAAATGAACATTTACACAAAGTAATGCAGAGGATTGGAGAATCCGAATTAGAAGTATTTCGGTAAAAAGTTTCCCAGATTCACTGACTTCTCGCTGACTGCAATACGCGTTAGGTATTAAAGATACGACAAGATATTCTTTAGGATTATTCGATAGCTTTGAATGGGTTCAGTCAGATACGGGCATTAGATTTTCGACAAGCAGAATCAATAAAATTAGTCTCTTTCCAAAATTTTCCGATACGAAACGAAACTTGTTACGGTTATGTAGCTTCATAATATGAAACGACCCTGGTACTTTAATTTATTATCTTTCTTAACTAGATCTATAAATATAAAAATTAATCGCTGAATGTGTTGCTAAGCGCAAATCTCGAGAACAGCTGAACCCATTTCGATAATTCTTTTTTTAGAATATTCCTTGAAATACGAGGATGGTTCTTACGCAGAGAAAATAAAAAAAAAATGCCTGAAAAAGTCCAATAACAATTTTCCTATACTCCCATACAAACGATCGTAATAATACTTTAAAGTCAATTTGAACTACCATACCATAAATTTCAAATGTTAGTGGAGAGGTTCCGGGAAGGCAAAACAATTGAGTGACGTGATATCAATAGAAGTTTGGAAAAGGCAAATATACCGTTTTCAGATTTTTTTTTATAATTATATGAAGAGTCGGTTTTAGTATACACTACAGCTCTACACCGAAGCGAAGCGAGGGCGGGCCACTAGTATTTCAATAAAAAATTGTCATAAACAAATATATTTATCACATTATGACGTGTTTTTTCCTTATAAAAAAAGTACGCAGATAGAAATATGTTGTAATTAGTCATAATAATATCTATAAAAGAGTAATCCATCGATTGCTTAAGTCACGAAAATACTTTTGACTGTCGACAATTAAGTACCTGCTTATTAAGATAAGACTAGTAAAACCCACAGTGACGTCATTGTTTGTTTAAATATGCGATTGTTTTAGAGAAACCAATTCATTTCGTTGCTTTAACTGTATGAATCGGTCAATTTAAAATATCTTCTAATATGGGGGATGACGGAGTCAAGTAAGCGAAATTCTATTTATAGCAAATTTTAAGAATCAATCTCCTGTTTATGTGTGAGGCCTACTCGAGCTTTGTTGCTATGATATATTTATCATTAAGTCTATAAAAAGTAATAACCGTTGCTAAGAAAGCGAACCATATTAGCCTTACCTCTTACTAGAGATTATTGAAACTGGCTTTTAGTCAGTCAGATAGACTAAGCAAAAAATAATACCAAAAGCGCGTCAAAGTTTGGGCGGGTGACGTTAATTGTGAGCAAAAATTGTACTAACACGTGACATCATTGCGAGTGATTTCAAATCAATTTAACTCTGTAATGTTTAGATTATGTCAAAAAAGAAAAAAATTACGTGTCCAGTACCTCTGATATAATCTAACTGATATGATTCCTACGGCTAAGAATACGTATTCAGTTTTTTTTTAAATACATATAATAAATACACATTTGCCTTTAATAATACACCTTCAGACCTATTAGAAACCGAAATAATTAATGTTTAATTATAAAGGGGTCTTGTATTAATAGTTTCTATCTAAAACCAAAACTGTTGATGTAGGCTCCTATTCGATTACTTAGATGTCGCCTGCACGTTTACCAAAGTACACACATAAAGCACCCGTGACGTTTTCATTATTGTGCGTATGAAATACCTTCAATATCCTTAATCAAGATCTTCATAATGTAACTAATCGTGTTGGTGTACGCAATTAAAAGTCCATCAGATATCACGCTCCGTTCCATCTAACATAATTTAGGAAATTAATTAAACACTCAAATCGAATTACGTATTACAAATGTTCTTATCTCCTCTTCATTTGGTATGAAATTGAATTAAGCTACGTTTTGTCGTTGAAAGTTAGTATACGTGAGCGAACTGTAAACAAATAAGTTAAACAGTTTACCATTCTTAACTGTGTCGAGGTGTTGCGAAAGACATGACTGATCACATTATTGGCGCATTGACCTGAGTAAGATTGTATTCTGATTACAAAGCGAGAACCTCCTATTAAGCTTAATTGTTTAAGTGCTACTTGCAACAATATTCTTAAATGAAATTTAAGCGTTTTCCTTTTTAAACGTCACTCCATCTTTGTCTATAAATTTAAGACAATTAGAGATAAAATAAGATAAAACATAATATTGTTTTAGATTTTATTTAAGAGACTTAGTACAACTGGGCCCTAAAACTTCAGTTTTTTTTTTGCTTCGTGCGTTATGAGATAATAAAATTTCAAGTATGTTTTATTTTAGGATTAACGTCAAAACAACAACAACTTTTGACATTTGAAGGCATTAGGCTTTATATTGGCAAAAAAACATTTAGAGTCGAAAAATTTTATTAATCAATTAACAGGAAAAGTTGAGTCGTGCGTCCGGTTTGAAACTAGTGATTTAATATAAAAACCTGGAAAAGCTAAATTCATGTCCATTTATTTAGTCAAAAATTTTAATTACCTAAGTAAATTGTTATCATTGTAATCTCAATTTTTGGCCATATAAAACATTTTTTTATAAAAATCGTCTTGCTATTTGAGAGATGCAACGAAGATTAAATTAAAAAGTTTTGTTTGACAGGAACCAGTGTTGCCCACTCGGATTTTGAAAAAGGCGTAGGCCCGATGAGAAAATTACGTAGAATTGGTAAATTTTGCATATGAAAAGTACGTAGATCTACGTACTTTTTTCTGAGTGAAATGAAGAAGTTAGGTGAAACCGAATAAAACGAGTATTTTGTATTAAAATTTGTTTAAGAACGGGAGATAGAACAAAGAGTTCTTGGAGAAGTCGCTGCATTGGAAACATTTACCATGCTGTGGTAGACATTAACCATCAGATACAGATACTGGTGGGTGTCGATTCTGGATGGTTATCTAAATTTAAAACTAAATTTAACATCAATCTCTCCTTTTCATTCTGTATAGAGAATGACAAGGATAAACTGTTGTTAAATGGGCTAGTTGATACTTTTTGGAATTATGTTTTAAATTGTTAATAATTGTTCTATCAGACCGAAAAAAATGTATTTTTTTTTACCTAGAAGACATACAAAACGCTATTTAGTCTATAAACTTATCTATGCTATGACGTCCAAACATTTGTAAACAAACACTCGCAAGCACGTAGGAAATAAACTTTCTAAGTTAATATTATAAAACCATGATTTCGAATAGATCACATGAAAAATATAGTAGTTATCATGATACACTTGGTAAAAGACTCTAGAAAAGTTGTGGTTTAAATTGCCAAGAGAAATAAACTACTTACACATGAACATATGTTTAAAACTTGTTAAATCCTGTAACTTTATCGACTGAAAGTCATTTCTTTTTGCAAAATCAATTCGATATAAGTAGGTACTCATTGATAATATTTAAAGTTTAAAAATACAATTTATAAGGTTATGAATGTACCTACTAAGTCAAAGAGTTTTGTCATTTCTGCTTTCACAAATCCTGCGTCCAGCATTAATTTAGTCAACAAAACCAATAACGGGATCCTTTTCTACAAGATACAAGAGTGTTAAGATACATCTTTATAAGAAATAAACATTTGTATAGTTTGTATTATAGTAAATTAAGTTATTTTACAAATTTGAAAAAAAATAAGAAAATACGTAGATTCTCGGACTGAAGTAGTAGGTTTCCAGAAAAGGCCTAAAATACATAGATCTACGTAAAAAGACGTAGAGTTGGCAACACTGACAGGAACAAACAATGTTTCTTTTTATGCACATGTCAATTGCAAAGGTTACCCAGTCTACATGAACAGTAAATTCGCATTCATATATATGTACAAAACAACATTATTGAACATTTTATTCATTATAATTTATGTCGAGCATAAATTTTCCTAAATGCTGAAAAGGTGTTTGGGTACAGACAGTTTTATACAAGGTCTCTGAGTTAATGGGGCCCACATTATTTTTTAATTACTTTACTGCCGTATCTATTCAATTAAGCTTTTGTGTGGCTCTCACAAAATCAATAGTGTTGCACACCCTTGTGTACGTTATAGTTTGCGCTGTAATGAAGTTTAGTAATTATCTTTAGGATATACTGGTCTTCTTTACCATGTTAGGCACGCTGTTGGAGACAATTTTACATTTCTGAGCTCTGTACTACGTAGAAAACTATATTCGTCGTAAAGTCTAGGCACTGACTGATATTGAATGGGAAATATTTAAACAATCCTCGAAAAAACAATAACTGATCACCTTAAAAAAATATTGGTATTTGTTTTTTTTTGAGGATATATTACTATGTTTTGATGATCTAGTAGCTACACTCACTACAAATAAAGTTTTCTACGTAATTTAAGAACTGGGTGTTGATAAACGCTTGTATTTTCCAATAAGCAGCTATAAGGAAACGAGCGTGAAAAGCCTTTAATGAAATGGCAACTGCTTTGAACTACGAGTATTACACAGATACTCTAGAAAAATCCTTGCAAAAGGCGGATCCATGAGTGTGAAACTGGCACGCCCCTACTTTTGTTAAGCTACTGGCAAAGAGTAATAACTTTTCTTAACTTTACAGCTGTTATATAATGGATACTTCCGTTATATGTGCTCGTTCTCTATTCAATGCCAACGAGCACAATTAGTAAACACGTACGTGAGTAGGCAGGAGGCAAACGCAAAATTTAATAATTCGGGCACTTTATTTCTTTTGTTTTTATTTGCATGATAACTGACTACTTATGTTCGCTGAAAGGGAGTAAGATTCACAGATTAAAGAAATTAATGAGAGTAATTTATGCTCTGCGTTATGCTAGCATGTTAGCTAAAGAAAGAATCAATGCTGAACGCTTGACGAGTAATTTAATTATTTTTCTATTCAAGCTATTACTTGTACAAGTATATTCTTAGAACTCCCCATTTAAACTGTTTTGCCTATTTCTGTCTTATAATTCCTACATTGGCTATAAAACTATCAGAGGCCATTCTTAGGTCAGGTACCTACTTGAGTTGCTGCGTCAACACTATGTCCAGTAAGTCACTGATGATCTCATTTGCATACTTTCTCAGTGAATATTGAATATGTTTGCCTCTGAATTACAGCATATATTGACCGCGTTGAAACACGATGACATAATGTGTCAATGAAGGAGAATTATAATGTCATCCATATACGTATGCCAGTGAGAGACATATATGCAGTGACGAGAAAGCGTCACGCTTGTGGCCGCGGCACATATGTAATCTCTCACGGGGTATCTCAGAATTTCATCATACTATGTATTTAGCTTTGTATGTTGGCATTTTGCTTGATAGATAATTAAATTAAGTGACACAGCAAGACGAACTTCCGTTTATGCGATGTCAGTTAATTATACTTCGACGAACTCGATAATATCTTGAAAGCTTTAGATCACAGACTTAGTAGATTCATGATTACATGTTTTTATGGATTTTTTTACTAATACTACTAACAGATAAGGTTTCAGATTCGAAGTGATATCACAAATATGTTTAGCATATTATGGACAGGGTCCAGAGTGAAAATTAATAATTCAAACAAATTCTCAATCGCCTAAGACAATGGCAAATCTTACTTAAATCCGATTAGGCGCTTTGCAGACGACGCGACGGGGCGGGGCGGGCCGGTCAATTTCGCCGCACACAGAGGGCAAAAAGACCGCGCCGCAAGTGCCCGGCGGGCAGTGGCGGCGCGGCATGTCCGCGGCTGCCCGCCGTGGATCATATAAAACCAGTTTATATGCAGTAACGCAGACGGCTGCGCGGGGCGGTCAGCTCAGTCCGCGCCACGCGCTTATTAGTGATGGATTATTCACTAGAACGAACGTCCTGAACTGACCGCCTCTGCCCGTCGTGTGCTTTATGTACGCGGCGCGGGCTGCCGCAGACATCGACGGGCAGACGCGGTCTTTATTGCTTCGCAGACAAAATGCCCGCCCCGGTCCGTCGTCTGCTCAACGCCTTAAAGTTTCAATAGGAATCTTCAACGGACTTAATCTTTTGCTTTTATTTTTGCAATTCATCATTGGAAAGATAAGCAAATACGTTTGATCTTTTCTATATTGTCTAGGGTTGTGCTATTGTTCCTCTGGTATGCGTGTATCCTTATAATTGTCACCTAAAAACTGAGTCCCTACAACGTCCGTAAATCTTTAATCTGGCGGACATTTTGAACAATTGAACAATGTTTGTATTTTCACAGGGACTTCAATAATCCGACTGCGCCAACAGTTTTACTGAAGCGTACGAAACACCACAAAGGCAGTATATATTGCCTGGCGTGGAGTCCAGCGGGCGACCTCCTAGCGACGGGGTCCAACGACAAAACGGTCAAACTCATGCGATTCAACAGCCATTCGTGTAACTTGGAAGGACAAGAGGTATGCACTATGCACATTGCTTCTTAACATTATAATAGATTGGGAAAAAAGTTTTCGCATTATAATGTGTATGAACTTGTAATAAAATCTCTTTGGCAATACCGTTTGTATCTGGCGGTATCATTAAAAAAATAAATTTTAATGAAGATTTGGAAAATTCAAATCAGAAAAATGTTTGATTTTCATTTGTCTTTTTTACTGTCAAGATGAGTGAATCTAATGAAAAAAGAAAAAGGTAAAAATGCAACGCTCGTCTCATAAAAAAAATGTGATGTTTATGGAACTAGTGACAGTAGCACAAATTTGGTTTAAGCGTTTTCAATCCGGAAATTTTGAAGTCAGATGCACGGCCCTCTGGTCGCCCTGTTAAAATAGATGCCATTTTTGAAAAAGTATAGCAAGATCGGCATATCAGTAGTTACGACGTAGCTGAAGAACTGGGAACTGACCAAACCGGTTTTGGCGCATTTGAAAAAACTGGGTACACATAAATGCTCGATATTAGGGCACCTCACGAGATCACTGAAAGATACCTAGTGAACCGTCTTCTCATTTGTCATTCTTTATTACGACGTAATGAAACCGAACCATTTTTGAAGAAGCTAATATCTGGTGATGAATAGTGGATCACGTACGACAAGAACGTGAGAATAAAGTAGTGGTCAAAGGCCGGTTTAGCTTCACAGACTGGTGAAACCCGGATTAACTTATAACAAGGTGATGCTGTGTGTATGGTGGAATTCATCATCATCATCAGCCTATTAATGTCCCCACTCCTGGGGCACAGGCCTTCCCTATGCATGGAATAGGGAGATTGGGCCATGACCCACCACGCGGGCCCAGTGCGGATTGGTGGGTGCTTACGACTGCAGATGTAGCCGGGACCAATGGCTTAACGTGCCTTCCGAAGCACGGAGGAACTCGAGATAGTAAATTTTTGGTCACCCATCCAATGACCGACCATTGCAAAAGTTGCTTAACTTCAACGATCGCAGCCGAACGCGCTAACCACTTGCGCCATTGAGCTCATCGTATGGTGGAATTGGACGGGCATTATTCATTATGACCTGTTACCGCCAGCCAGGACCATCGATTCTGAACTCTACTGCGAACAACTGATGAGATTAAAGTAAGAATTTGAGAGAAAGCGGCTGGAATTAATCAACAGAAGGGGTGTGGTTTTTTAGCATGATAATGCTAAACCTTGCACCTCTTTAGCCAGTTAGCAAAAATTAAGAGAGTTTGAATGGGAGGTTTTCATTCATTCGCCGTATAGTCCTGACCCCTGACCTTCAGATTTCCACCTGTTTCGGTCTCTTCAGAATTCTTTAGGCCATGTCAGGTTAACATCACGAAAGGACGGCCAAAACCACTTGTCGCGGTTTTTTGATCAGAAGTCCCAAAATTTCTATAGCAATGGAATCATGTCCCTGCCTGCAAAATGGTTAAAAAGTTATCGAACAAATTAGCTTCTACATACTTTAGTTTAATATAAACAAACTTTATTAAAAAATGTTTCGAATTTCATATAAAATGCGAAGAAACTTTTTCCCCAGCCTAATATAAAACAACGTGTAACGGAAATAACGCACACCCTGAAAGTAGTTTGATAGGTATTGGTTTCAGTAACGATAAAAAAAAGTAAGTATCTAAAAAAATCCGTTAAAAGATTTCCACTAATTTTTCTAAACAAAAAAATGTGATGGATAACAAAAAGTAATAAGGGCTATTTTAAAATGCAACGGTACATTAAATAATTTGACTAATATTGTGTGAGATAACACTGATTAAACTGATAACATAAAAATTACGGAAATTGATTCATTTGCATATTTCTAACAAACTACTTTCAGGATGTGCGTTATTTCTGTTACACGTTGTTACAATTTGTCATGTTAAAATACAACCTTAATTTTCATCTTAAATGCTCTCCAGCTAGATGAATAAATAACTTACATAGGGATTACAATAAAGCGTTCAATAGCGTTCACAATGTCATGGAAGAACTAATCGATGCATTCGATCAGTGCTGTTGTTAAGTGAACACAAAGGGTCGATGGAACTGTCACCTACATACGAGGTGGTATAAAAAGTGGTTAATTTTGTGGAGAGCCTAAAGGCGAGTATAATTTTGGACAGGACGTACTTGAGTGATAATATTTCAATAAAGTCAATTCTTTTTAATTCTCTGGGTTCGGTTAGACATACCAATGTCAAAGTTTATTAGTTATAATATACTTGTACGAGTGCCCGAAATAGGCCTTCTACTTGGTATAAAGTTGGTTAATATAATATAAGAGTGCAACTACTCAACAATATCACAATAAACTTTCTTACCAACATTATACCTACACGAAACTCATTCCGCTACATACAAACGCTGAAAGGGGAAAAAATCCCTTCTTTGCCGCTCCGTGAAATCGATTACATGTGGGATCCCATTCGTATAATTGAAATGTCAATTCTATAACACTTATCTGATCAAATTTCTAATCATTCGTCAACGCAATACGACAGAAGTGTTTCCGAGCTCGTTAATCGGCATTTGTCGAAAGCTTCGTTTCAATCTGAATTAAATTGCTTTAGACACGATAATCTTCAGATACCTTTCAAGATAGGTTTTACTTATCACAAATACCCATAATTCCCATTATCTTTCTGATATTCGTGTAAATGTTTAAGTATATAATCCATTTGGTAAAATTCATTTTTAATGCGATCTCTTCGGAGTCTATGATTTTTATTTAATACTTAAAAACGTAAGTACCTTACCTCATCTGATTAAAAGTAAATTGCCGCTTCCGCTACATTTACCTCGCCGGCCTGAACCTAATCTCATTCCGGTTATACACAACACCGTCATAGGGTAGCGTCACTTAGAGCCTGCGCTGCGTTAAGTGGAGCGGGCGTCCTCTCCGCGTGTTTGTTACATGTTATTTCATAGCGCAGTGCTGCGTGAGGCGGGTCTCAACGCGGTCAAACGGTAACTGTGATAAGAAATTTTACAAGGTAAAAGATACTTCCACAGACAGGTGCTTTAATTGGAGCGTAATCCTGCGCTACCTATGTGTATGTTAAAGTTAAATTGTATTTAGTTTATATCCAGTTAATGTAAAAATTAAGAGCTAGCTAAGTCAGCAAAAGTTCATCATTTATTGGACAGATGGTAAAGCGCTCATGTTCCAAACGTCCATCATATTACAGGACGGGTAAAACACAATTATTATTTGGCACTCGTTCGTACTTGAGTAGGCATATTATGTTGGTACAGATTGTTGCTTTGAGAGGGCCATTAACAACCCGCATTAGGGGTGCGTTTTAGGTCACGTTCCTAAGTACATATAGCCCGTTTTCCAAGCATATTATATAATTAATGTCATGCACGAAAAAGGCTGAACCAAGTATACGGGGTTTACTTACACACATACATGTCATGCTTAAGAATATGAATATACCAGTATCATCCATTCCTTTATACCGAGTGTTTAACCCGCGGTGACATCCTTGGCAGCCCGGCATCTTTAATTAACATTGCTATAAATCTTGAGAGTAGTCTGAGAATTACCTTACCTTTTCCGAGGCAGATATTGATAATTAACAGAGAACAATCTCAATAATAAAATTTTAATAAAATGCCATTGATATTAAAATTTCTTCTAAAATATGTTAATTTACAATTAAATCCCATTGTGTTACGCACAGCTAGTCGACAAGAATCAAGGTATTCTCAAACCGTGATTTAAAAACTGTATGAATATCCTTCTTTCATGCAATAAATACAGTATTAACTTGTCCAAAAATATCTTGAAATCTTCCTTGTACGATAGCGCTGTTATTTGGGCAATGGATGTAGTAAATTTTTACAATACTTTATCTATATACTGAATCATTTACACAACAAAACACAGTAAATAACATGATGTCATTAGTTTAGCTGATTACTTCTAAACATTATAATAATATAAGTTATTTACGGGATTGTTACCATGTACCTTGTTTTTAGCGAGTTTCCGATATTTCGGCACTGTTGCAAGCGCCATGATCACGGAGTTACTCCGTTACTCCGTGTACTCACGGAGTTACTCCGTGATCATGGATGAAATATCGGAAACTCGCTAAAAACAAGGTACATGGTAACAATCCCGTAAATAACTTATATTACTATAATGTTAGTGACCATGAAAGTTTAAAACAATATACTTCTAAACAATGTAGATATTGGACGTGATAATTTGCTAATTGATTCAACTAACGTGTAATCTAGTTGGACAGTTCTGATCGAATTACACTATATAACGCTTGTTATTGTCTTGTTCCCAGATACCAACAACGTACTGTCCTTAATTTGACCTTGCGTCATTCAATTGCGCCAGTAATAGGATAATCGATAACGATGTTTTCGCAATAAAAGCCTACAAAATTATGTATATTTTTATGGCTAAACAGCTTCACACTCCTCCTGTAAAGTTTCCATAATATTATCTAAACTTCATCTTTTTTATGTTACATGACAAAGAAAAGATATAATTTATCATGATATTTCACCACATATATAATCTCTGTCTTACTAGCGACAGTTATCGTAACTTCAACCGAACTTTGTAAGGATCTAATAAAGCTATAAAGGTTCTACTCGTCATCCATCAATATTTTAAATGAAGATTCTTCTACAGTGTGGTTTAAGAGATTGTTAAAAACTAAACGAAAACTAAAAGTTAACATTCGGAGATTTTTGCCAAACATCTCAGGTGATATATTTCATATACATATATATATACACAGTCAGGTTATAAGTATTGTCACACAATCAAAACTTTTCTTTTAGAATGCTGGCCACAAAAAAGTTTATTGAATTCGAATTTCGAATTGTTCATGAAAATAAAAATGAAAAAACCTAAAAAGTATTTAGAATTTTACTCATTTTTAAAAATAGAGTGGACGCTTGAAGAAGACCGTGTTGCAGTTATTGCGTTGCATCGTTGCGGTTACGCGCCAATTTG